GCGACGCTGCTGCGTGCGGCGCTGCTGTTGCAGCAGCGTGCAACAGCAGCGCTGCGCGCCGCTGCCATCAACCGCCGGGCAGTGCCCGGTGCTGCCCGGCTAGAGCAGCGCTGGCAAGCGGCGTCCAATGCCGCCGGCAGGCTGCCCAGCGCCGGCGACAATATTGTCGCCAGCCAGTCCCGCCCTTTTTTTTTTTTTATTTAATTTCCGAAATCTGATTTCAAAAAATATGAAAATCGAATTTTCATTAATCGCTAGAAACAAGAAAAATATGTACAATCAACATCTGATTATTCAATCATGCAAATCAATTCCTAACAAACACAAAGTAGGCTTTGATACCACTGTTGGGAATCTATTTATACATGCACAGCGGAAAATTAAATTATTTCGATTCCCATCCAATAGATCTCATTGTGTTTGGTTAGGAATTGTGATAAGATTGTACCTTTTTCAGATCTGCAATCCTTTTGCTTTTCTTTTCGTTCTACAACTTTGATTCGCCACCACAGCTGTCCAATTGTCCAGCCTCCAACGGTGATCCACACAGAGAAAATGATTGCAGCCTCTAGGGTTTTCTCTTGTGCTAGCAAGAATAATGAAAACCTTAATGGACCTCAAACCCTAGTTATGTATTTATATAAACCCAAATAGGCTCGGCCCGGTCCGGCCCAATAATTAATTAATCCAATTAATTAAACCCAGTCCATGAATTAATTAATCCAATTAATTAATTCAAAAATATAAATAACAAATTCAATTAATTAATTTATCCAACGATTGTTAAATTAATCAATTGGCAATTTGCAATCTTCCAATTCTCTTTTGTGTGTGACTCATTAGGTTCCCGACCACGATGCCTAACGACGTGAAATATTATTTTGATCTAATCAAAATTGATAAATTAAAACACCCTTTTAATTTATCATCAATTCACATTCGCCGTCCCTGATTGACATCTAGCAATGTGTCAGGGCAATACCTGTGACGGGAAATGTCACGTGGTACGACAAAACCAAATTCGTTCGTTTACCGTGAAACTATAATCCCTTCGTCAATATGATCCGATCAAATACGAGATATGGAGTTGTGTCAGTCTCGATCATCGATCATATCTTTCACTCCACTATTAAGTCAATATAAGTCGAAAACTCCTTTTCGACTTATGAGTACACCTTGGCCAAGGATTTCATCATCGACTTAATTGAATGAAACGCAGATCATAATCTCCTACTATCTAAGAGTGACGAATCCTTTATTGATCAATCACAACCTTCATACGATTCTTGACATACCCGAACGATATCGTATTAGCGGCCCTTTTCAGAGCAACATCCAATACCGCCAAAGTATGACTGTCCTCATATAAGGTACTATGACGACCTCAAGTCAAAGGACCAATTCCACTACCGAACGTTAGAGATTAACCACTGACACTCAGATAGTTATCCATGTGGAATCTCTCGACGGGTCTCCAATGTTTTGTTCTATAACAAAAACATCCACGTGTTCATTTAAGTGTCACCATACTTTAACTTGTGAGATCAGCTACTTACTTCACAAGTAAGAAATGCCACACGTGATGGTCTATCCGTAATAACGATATCCGTAACTCGTTGTTACTTACGACCACGGATGATTTAAGATTCAATCAGATGTAATTTGTATCTCACAATCACAACTCTTTGTGATTAACAAATTACGAAGATTTGAATCTACGGACTCTATTATTTATTTAATTGTCTATTAATTAAAAATAGATCTGCCATTTAATTGCATTAATTATATATAAAAGTATTTATGTCCAAAGTTGATTGGACCTAGGGCATAATACTTACAGATTGGGCATATATTGAGGAGTATTCAACTTGGATAGATCACCACGGCATCCAATGGTAGTAGTTAATGGTAGATGTAGACTCAACCATTGATACGTGATGCAATATTCAATTATCTCTACTTTTACAACTAACAATTCACCATAATCACTGCCACTAGGGAAAATAAAAATGTTCTGCTGAGGGAAAAGAAGAAGAAACTGCTAAGGGTAAAAAAAATTCCATCACAATGGAATTTGTTCAAATGAAGAAAACCGGATTGTAGAATAGAGAGAATTTTGTTATTGTATTAAATCTTACATTTTACACTATCTAATATGATTGGTATTTAACAAGGAAAACAAGAGAATATTCCCTATCGAATTAGTTACAGCTGACTAGAAAAGAAAAAATATACACAACAGAATTTCAGATAACAAATTGATTCTCTGGCTACTTCATCCCTTCTTCCAGAGAGTTCTGTGTTTCTAGAATGCTTTTATCCATTTCATCATCCACATAGACTACAGCTGCTTGTTGGATTAGCTGATGTACATTTTCTGATAGCCCCCCACAAGAGAGAGTAGATATCCTCTACTCCCATCTTGGGAAGATGACAATAAAGACTTGAAGAACTCAATGCCTTGGTTAAAAGGTCTGCAATTTGCATATTGCTGTTGACATGTTTTGTGAATATATTTCCATTCCTGATCTGGTCTCTAACAAGGTGGCAATCGAGCTCGATATGCTTGGTCCTCTCGTGAAAAAGGGGATTTGACGCAATATGAAGTGCAGCCTTATTATCACAAAACATGGTTGCTACTTGAAGATGTTTGATCTGCAAGTCATGTATGAGATATCTTAGACAAGTCAATTCACAGCACAAATTCGCCATTGCTCTGTACTCTGCTTCTGCAGAGGATCTGGACACAACTCCTTGTTTCTTAGACTTCCAAGACACCAAAGAAGAGCCTATAAAAACACATTGCCCACTAACTGATCTCCTAGTATCCTGGCAGGCCCCCCAACCCGAATCACAATATCCTGTCAATTGCAGGACTGATTTGGAAGAATATAGTAAACCTTGCCCTGGTGCTTTTTTGATGTACCTTAAGACTTTATGAGCTACATTAAGATGAGGCAATCTTAGCTAATCCATGAATTGACTTAGTAGTTGCACAGAATATGCCAAATCAGGTCTCGTTATCATTAAATATAGTAATCTCCCATTCAGCCTTCTCTAAACTGACAGTTCAGGAATAAGTGGCCCTTGATCTTTGGAAAGTTTCAGATTTTGGTCAAGTGGAATACATGCTGGTGTAGCACCAATCTTTCCTGCGTCCGATAAGATGTCTAGCGCATACTTTCTTTGGCATATGTGTATTCCTTTACCTGATCTTGCCACCTCAATCCCAAGGAAAAATTTTAGTTGTCCTAGATCCTTAATTCTAAATTTATCACGCAGGCAAGTTTTAAGAGCATTGATGGAGTCCAAACAACTACCCGCCATGATGATATCATCAACATATACTAAGATGGCAGTGAAAGAATTTTCTGTTGTCTTTGTAAATAAATTGTAATCTGCCTTGGATTTTGTGTATCCTTGTTCAACAATAAAATTAGATAGCTTAGAATACCATTACCTGGATGCTTGCTTAAGACCATATATGCTTTTGTTTAATTTGCAAACCTTTGATCCATTAGCATTGGGACAACCTAGAAGAAGCTACATGTAAACCTCTTCTTCTAGATCACCGTGTAAGAATTACATCAAATTGGTATAGATGCTCTCCTTTAATGGCTGCTACCGCTAGCAAAGTTCTAACAGTAACCAGTTTTGCCACAGGTGAAAAAGTTTCATAATAATCAGGTCCTTCTTGCTACGCCTAACCCTTGGCAACCAGCCTGGTTTTGTATCTTCGTACAGTCCCATCTGCATTAAACTTCACCTTATATACCCACTTGCAGCCTATAGGCCTTTTACCAGTCGACAGATCCATGACAAGCCAAGTGTCATTAAGTTCAAGAGCATCTATTTCAGCTTTCATTACCCCCACTCAGGTGATTCTAAAGCTTCTTTGAAGTTTCTTAGTTCTCTGTGTGTGTTAATGGAGGTTACAAATGCTTTGTGAGAAGTGGATAGCTTGTGATAGGACAGACTAATTTCTAAAGGAAAAGGTTTACCTAACAAATGTTGGCCCTTTTCTTGTCCAAGTCCTATGAATGGGAAAGTGCAGCTGCTTGTTGGCAAACAAAATCTTGTAAATGATCAGGAGTTCTTCTAATTCTACTTGATTTGTGGAGGTGAGGTTCATCCAAGAACTGATTTTGACAAGGCTCAATATTATCTCGTGAAGTATGGGAAGGATTGAGATTTGATTCAGGTAAGAGTACAGGAGTGTGGGTTGCATCTGTGGTGGAGATACTTCCTACCTCCGTTTGATCCAAGGTCTTCATAGGATTGTTGGTAACCAANGTCTTCTACATCATCAGAAATAGTAGAAGCTGTTATGGGTATCTTGTAGGTTGTTTGAGCTAATTTTTCTACTAAGGCACGTGGTGAAATTTCCTTCCGCACCAAGTGATGCAAGCCCCACTTAACTTCACCCATTCCAGTCGCCGTCCAAGTTAAAAGGTCTTGTATGATGCACAAATCAGGAAAAAAGATCAGACAGTAATTCATAATTTGTGCTATTTTTCTAGCTGATACAAGATTGAAAGAGAATGAAGGCACACAAAGCACATAATCAAGAATTAACGACTCTGAAAATTTGACTATTCCAATATGGGTGACTGGAACGATTTCACCATTAGGAAGAGCAACCGAGTAAGATACTTCAGCTTTGATTTTGGAAAAGTAAGATGCGGAACAAATCATGTGGTCGGTTGCCCTTGTGTCTAGAATCCAAGGAACAGTAGAAGAGTTAGAAAGATTGGTGCTGTGAGCAGAAAAACATAGAGATATATCAGAAACTTTTGGAATGCCACCATCATTGGTATGTGATGGAATGATCGAATGAGCTTGATTTGCTGATGGCGTGTAAGTTCGAGAACTTTGTGGTTTTAGTAGAGCCATAAGCTGAATGTATTGCTCGAGTTAAAGACATTTGGGTCTTATCACTTACCTACTCCTGCCCAGTACCAACAATTGCAGTGACTTGAAGTTGCCTTATTACGACTTTTTTATTTATGTCCTAGTGGATAGCCATGCAACTTGTAACATTTATCCACGGAATGGCCCGGCATTTGGCAGTACGCACAGGTTGGCTTGTTTGGATTGAATTTGAAACATCTTTCAAGTGAATGACCAGCCATTTTACAATGAGTACAATAATATTTGTCCCTCTTTTGTCCTGATGAACTCTTCCCTCCATCTCTAAAACCTCCTTTCGCCAGAAGTGCCATTGAATCTGTCACAGCATTATCAGATGAAATATGCCTCCGCTTTTCCTCTTGTTGCACTATTGCATATACTTCATTTAGGCTTGGGAAAGGTTTAATCAACAGGATTTGGGCCTTGAGAGCCTTGTAAGAATCATTTAGCCCCATCAAAAATTTCACGACCTAATCTCTTTGTTGGTTACTGATTACAGCCTTTAAACCACGACAAGAACAATTAGGTATTGACTCATAGTTCATCAATTCGTCCAACAGAGTTCTGAACTTGGAGAAATAAATACTTACCGTATCCTGATTTTGGAGCAAGGTCATTATATCTTGCTTGATTTCATATATTCTTGGAGCATTTTGCTGTGCAAAGCATTGCTCCAGTTCTACCCACAACTGGTGAGTTGTCTCTACATATACGGTGCTGCACTTAATGTCTAATGACATAGTGTTTTGAAGCCAAGTGATTACAATGTCATTGCATCGTAGCCAATGTTCAATCAGGGAATCATTTGGATCAGTTGGCTCACAAATACTTCCATCAATGAAATCCAACTTGTTTTCTATCGTAAGTGCTCTCTTCATAGACTTAGCCCAAGGATAATAGTTGCTTGCATCAAGTTGGTAGTATGGCACCACCAGGGCCGGTCCTGTGATAATGGAAGCCCGAGGCGAGGTTCGTAAATTGGGCCCCCGGACGAAATCAACGTAAAAATTTACGTAAAAATCTAATAACATTTTCAATTATGTACGCAAAAATTTGAGCATTACAAGTTTACGAAAACAATACAAAATTAAAATAACATCCAAAATCCAAAACTATCCCAAAAAAAAAAAAAAAAAAATTTGAAGCAAAATTGGGCCCCTTAAGGGTTTTGGGCCTGAGGCTGAGGCCTCAAATGCCTCAGCCCAGGACCGGCCCTGGGCACCACTACCATCACTGCTGCTAATGTAGTAAGGACTACTTGGTGATGTAGGATCTTGAGGTCCTGCACCAGCTTCAGAAGAACTTGCATTTGGATTAGGATTTTGAGTAACATTCTGATCTGTGGATTCAATTTCTGCAATCATTGGCTCTGATACCTTATAAGAATTTGTTCAAATGAAGAAGACTAGATTGTAGAATAGAGAGAATTTTGTTATTGTATTAAATCTTACATTTTACACTATATAATACAATTGGTATTTAACAAGGAAAACAAGAGAATATTCCCTAACAAATTACTTACAGCTGACTGGAACAGAAAAAATTAAGAGAAAAGAAAGAAAAAAATATATACAACAGAATCTCAGATAACAAATTGATTCACTGGCTACTTCATCCCTTCTTCTAGAGAGTTCCGTGCTTCTAGAATGCTTTTATCCATTTCATCATCCACATAGACTACAGCTGCTTGCTGGATTGGCTGACGTGAATTTTCTAATACAATCATCAATTTCATATTAAGGGCATGTTTGGGAGCGATTTTTCCTCCCAAAAAATTGATTTTTTAACAATTATTTTACTATTCAAGCCGTCATATTTGACTTCTTCTCTCACAGATGGACCCCACTTTTCTCCTAACGGTCAAAAAATCAATTCTCAAAATCACTCCCAAACAAGCTCTAAGAAGTGTGGTTATTTTATTGTAATTATAGTCAAAATCATATATGTAAGTGGAAAAAAAATTTAGAAATAAACGAAGTTCTTGGTAGTAATAACTGTAATATCACTAACTACACCGGATAATCCCGATATTATGGAAATAACATTTTCAAGTATTTGCCTACATTGACTCCCTATTTTAATTAACATATATCACTTAATTAAAAATATTCATGAATCTCTATAGCATCCATTTTGTAGGCACTTTTTTATTATTTTTGGAAAACTCTTGACAATAATTGAAGTTGACCTTATATTGATGGATTTTCATACTAAATAGATTTTTTTTTTATAGAAAACTAAAATTAATGTGTCGTGTCATTACACAAATCCATCATAATGTTAAATGCGCCACCAAAAAGATAATTAATGCCCAACGAGACAAATTGTTGACTTCATTTTAAGTATCACAATGCAAGCACATGACATACATAATGCTTTTCACAACCCGGAAGCGTATGACCCTCACTCCGGATAAGAAAATTACATCCACTCATGGGCATCATCGATCTAGAGATGTAAATTTTGATTTATTGCGGAAGGACATACTTTCAAAAGATAATTAGCATAGGAAGCACGAAAATGAAATTCCCCTTCGCTATTTAAACCATAGTGTTCTAATTATACTAAATTTGAAATTTAGTGACCTAGTTGCAAGTACAGTAAAAGTCCAATGACCTCCACTGCTATTTAAGCGAGCTGACGTGGAAAAGGGATTGTCACATTGGCAAGTTCTTAGTTTTGACGGACAAGTTAGCATATTTATTAACGGAATTCAAACGGAATAACCTAATAGATCGTAAATTAGATTAGAAGTTCAGTTACCTAATTACTCAAGATCAAAAAAACCTAGCTCAAGTGATAAGAGTAAAGTGTTACAAATATAATTTATCAGTAATTATGGGTTGGTTTAACTAATGCAGAAACAATTAGACAAAGTGCAAAATGGAGAAGAAATATTCGGAATTCAATCAATTTCAACGCTTGAATTCAGACAATTGACATTATATCTTCAGTTTTCAGAATACAGCATCTTAATTAAGGTCAAAAACTTTAAACTTTGAGTGTTCAGATTTCAGTGTTATAAAACACAGCCTTCACATATGTCCAAGACCACATGAGCTTGTTTTTTGTCATCTCCAATAATCAAGTTATAAGCTTCAGTGAATCTTGATTGTCATACTTTCCAGCATGTTATAGACCATACTGGGGCGGCCATGCTTACTAAATCTATAGATGGCAAAATAATCAGCCCCACCCCACCCCGTGATATATTCCAGCCGCATTCAAGATTCTTCCATGCCGAAATTGTTGAAATTTCAATTGCTTAATAAACAAGTAATTCTCACCAACATGCATGCATGAAGGATGAAGAAGAAAATTTGAATTAAAACTCTCTACCTTTTGACGGCCACAAGTTCAATTGCTTAGTGGAGAAGAAATCTATGCAAGAAGAGAATTTGAAATGAAATTCTCTAACCGCAATTCTTGATTGGTTTTTGGCCACAAGTTTATGACGATTTGTAGCCAAGATTTTTCTATAAATAGAGCTACCGTAAAGAGAATTAATATGTCCCTTGAGAGGAAGAAAAATAGGATAGAGAAGAGAGAAAAAAAAAAAAAAGAGAGATTAGAGAAACTCTTTTGAGAGGTTTTTTTTAAGTTTGTAAACTCCGTTGTAAATTCTATTCAAATAGAAATAGAATTGTTTTTCCTCTTTTATTTTCTCTTCACGTGATCGGAGAATCACAACCCCCCGAACTCCCCCTTGAAAAATAAAAAAAATAATAAAATAAAAATTGTTAATTTGAACATTATTTGCTTTGGATTTTAAAATTTTGAATTTGTATTTTATTTTCTAATAATAGCATAGCTCAAAATTTTGAAAATGTAAATATGAGAAAAAACAAACAAACGAGGTTAAGTCACAGCCTCAAACCCGGCCCTGTGCCATCTCTAACGAAATTTGCCTGTAGCTACACGCTGTACATGTTACAGCTCTCCTATCAGATTTTGGGAGGTGCTAGGAGATTCATTAGCAAAAACACAATTATTCCACTTATAAATCCCGAATGAACATACAGTGTGGTTTAGGATGTGATTATTTCTCTAACTTCAATCTTCAATTAGAATGAAGTCATCAATCATCACAATTCAGGATGACAAAATTTTCCTCTAGTGGCTGTTAACATTGAATTAGTTTCATCACTACATATGAAACTCTTCTGATGATTGGCATTCTCATATATTTACAGCTTGCTCTATAAGTGGAAGTCAAGTTCTGTGTTTATATGATAGGCTATATTGAAACATAATAGTTAAGTAATGGAAAGACAAGAAATTGAAATGAGTGTTTTCCAGTTGTTAGAGGTGATTACCAATGCCATCCACTTATCTAGTTACTCAGGTGTTTAGTGTCTTGAGAATTTTTAGAAAGATTTAAGTATTTACTAATGAAATTGTTCAACTTGTGAATTGAAATTGAAGATGTACATATAAATTTGGGAATTAAAGAGGTTTCTTACTGTTTTCTTGAATTACAACATGCCAAGATTGTATACATGATATGGAAATGAAGAACAAGAAATTAAACTAGAAATCTATAAGTATGATGAATAGGAAAAGGTCGCATCAGATTTCATGAGAGAAGAGAATGAACCAGGCAACATCGAGCAAAATGGAGCACAAGCGAAGAACTGCATATGTCCTGCAGAGACTCTGGCTACTGCTCTCAATGGGGACAAGGGCGAATAATGAAACTGCCAAATTAACAAGCAAGAACCAGTGTAAAAGATCGATATTCAATCTTGTAACACTTGGATATGTATAATTCTACATAAAAATAAATAAATAAATAAATTCATTATCTTTTCGGTTTTGTAATCCCATAAAATAAATAATTTAATATAATGGTTTAGTTTTATAACATATCCGTGTGCTTAATATGGAAGGTAATCACTTGATGCAATTAGAGATTGATTTTCAATCAGAATTTATCACTC